AAAATATTCAATGTAATGACAAAATGTAAATTTCTTCTGTAAATAAAATGTACTAGCAATTTTCTATTAATGGTTTATTCAAGTGGGCAAAATATAATGTACAGAAAGCTTGCCCGTATACACTGAAAAGTAAGCAACTGACAGCCTGTATAAAAGGGGGGCTGTGATTGGCTGTTACTTACGCGAGATTTGAACGGGACTTACATAGGCGTCGGATCAGATGTAGGTAGGGCGGAATTAAAAAAAATCACAAAATCAAAATCAAAGTAAAATAATAAAATAAAAAGGCATTAATAAAAAATATAATAAAAAATAAGTTTATGGCCAAAATAATTAAAGCCCGTACACTACATCAGATTTTAATCAGATTGAGTGGGACACAGATCTAAAATGGGAAACGTGAGGGTGGGCATTGCACAGGCACTTTAAGGGTGGACCATTAGAAAACTGGGGGCGATTGCAGAAAAACTGTGCAAAAACATTTTGTTCCTTCACTTAGTTTTGCGCTATTTTTGTTAATGATGAATTCGCTGTATTATTTTCTCAGTGTGTAATATTTTTTCCCTTAAAAAATAGCGATGCAGAAAAAATTAAAATTGCATTGGTTAGGGGTTGCGGTGTCACTGCAAAGTAAAAACAAAATTTTAGTGAGAAAAAAAAAACCTTCCCTGAATATATTTCCACACAGTTATACTCCACAATAAGTTTTCAATGGTTGACATTTGCAGGCCTTACAAATTATATGAAACAGAAATTTTACTTTTATTTATTTTGATAGACTTTATAGTTCATGTTTATGGTATAAGGGTCCAATCTACTGAAAGTCAGATGTGGGTACAGGCTCGGGTCCAACTACTGTAAAATACCTCATTTTCACTTGAAATTTATTTTTGCTATTTTCTGTGAAGAGATGAATCTGAAAATAAAATTCAATTGAAATAACCTTTTTCGTTTATTTCACATGCAGCTCATCAAAAATCAGTGAAAAGAAATTCCATACAAAACAGTCAAAATGTCTTTTTCAGAGAAAATTAATTCATGCTAAAATAAAGTAACTTACAATACATGTACCCATATCAAATCATGTTAAAGTATTGTATGATTAAAACAACCAATCATAACTCATGTTACAGACAGCTTTAGGCATGGCTTGATGGATGCTTAAACTTACAATTATGTTGCCTGTATACTCACCGCAGTCTGTTAAATAAATGAATATTTGTTTCTGATCAGAGCACATGATTTTTTTCTGGTTTCTGCCAAAATACTTAGATAAAGTAAATGAAGCGTATTTCACTCCACATTGTACTAATTGACCAATGAATGGAAAACATTTCACTTCACATTGTACTAATAGACCAATGAATGAAGAACATTTCACTTCACATTGTACTAATAGACCAATGAATGAAAAAAAGTTCACTTCACATTGTACTAATAGACCAACGAATGAAGAACATTTCACTTCACATTGTACTAATTGACCAATGAATGATAAATATTTCACTTCACATCGTACTGACTGACCAATGAATGAATAGCATTTCACTTCACATTGTACTTATTGACCAATGAATGAAGAGTATTTCACTTCACATTATACAAACTGCCAAAATACTTAGATAAAGTAAAAATGGTGAAAATACAATAACTTAATATAATTATTAATTAAAATTAAAAGCACATGTTTTGAATATAGTGAATAAAAAAAAAAATATTTTTATGAGATTTGCAAATTTTCTCCCAAGCTTGCATGCACATATGCGGTAACCTGTCACTGTCTTTAACAGAATCTTTACTATCATGGAGGAAAGAGGGACGGAAAGCAGTATGGCTGAATATACCGGTGATGAAAGCTGCCCTAATACCAATTGCTGTGAAGCAAGGTTTTTGTTTGCATCACAGCCGTGGAGATTGCATCACAATGTGTCAATGGATGGACGATGGCTCTCCAAGTAGACTACCACTCTATGCAACACATCAAGTGGGCGTGGCAGGTTAGATTTTTAACTGTAAAATGACTAGTTTTCACTGGGTTTAAATTTTGCTGATTCAGTGGGTTTTAAATTCACAGTTTTATCATTTAGATAATGTGTTATATGCTAAATTTTACATATTCACTGGGTTTTAATGTAGCACATTTTCCAGTCAGCGAAATAAGCAAAATTAAAACCCAGTGAGTAATTGACCCTTTTACAGTACTCAGAACCCAATGCAAGTGAGCCCTCTATAGACTGGATCCTTACATTTTGAATATTTAACCTTTACCTTTTGACCACCAGTTCCCTCTATTTATCACAAATTCACAAAATAGTACTCTTTATAGTCTGCACTTTCATTCATAGGATTGGGACAAAAATAGCCAAATTTTTGCAGTAAAAACTGAAAATTGACTCAAATTTTGTGTTTGCTCCAAAAAAAAGTGCAGACAAATTTTGATGAGAAAATCCAGTGGTGAAAAGGTTAAAGTGCTAGTCATCGTGCAGTGTGTGTGTGTGTGTGTGTGTGTGTGTGTGTGTGTGTGTGTGTGTGTGTGTGTGTGT